GATGATGATGATGATGATGATGAGGATGAGGATGAGGATGATGAGGAGGAGGAGGAGGAGGAGGAGGAGGAGGAAAGGGATGGGCACTGGACCAAGGGAAGCTGCTCAATGGTGTGGCAGGGTGGCCTGCTTCGTTTTCCACTGATGTGCAGGTGGGCCCCAGAGGCCGAGCCGGGGCCCTGGCACGCGGGGGCGAAAGCGGCTGAGAGAAGCGCCGCTCGCCAGCCTGTACCAGGGTCCTTGTCAATAGGCGTTGCATGGCGTTGCGATGATTGTCGGACTCCGCCTCAGGTCGGGGCGCAGGAGGAAGTGGACGCGATACGGCGAATATGAGGAGCGGGCGGAAAGGGAGGAGCAGGAAGAGGAGAATGAGGAGGAGCGGGAGGAAAGGGAGGAGGAGGAGGAGGAGGAGGAGGACGAGCAGGAGCGGGAGGAAAGGGAGGAGGAGGAGGAGGCGGAGGAGGAGGAATAAGGATAACCAGAAGGACGTGGTGTGGGGGAGTTGCAGGAGGAAGAGGAGGAGGAGGAGGAGGAGGAGGAGGAGGAGGAGGAGGAGGAAGAGGAGGAGGAGGAGGAGGAGGAGGAGGAGGAGGAGGTGGAGGAGGAGGAGGAGGAGGAGCTCACTGTATTGCCTGGGCCCGAAAGCACGGCTCGTCAGACACGGGCCCACGAGTGGTGGCCCGACAAGGACGAGGGCCGCACGCGCCAGTACCGGTCGAGCGCGCTGCGGCCGATGCGCCTCACGCTGGAGCAGTACGAGCTGACCACGTGGTGGCTGTCGCTGGACCTCGCCGAGGACGGGCCTCTGTCACGCCGCCCTCTGCCGCCGATGGCCCCGTTCGCCCGCGTGGCTTGGCCCAGCTTACTCGCGGGGGGCGCGAAGCGGCTTGCGCTGCGCGCGCCGCGGTCTTGGCCAGCGCGGCTGCCCCTCTCCAAGGGGCCGGCTCGAGGGCGCGGAGGTGATCGCGCGTCGCGGGGCGCGGTACGCGCCGCCAGGTGACCTACAGTCAAAAACCCTAATAAGGACGCGCGACTTTGCTCAGGGTACCCTTGCGTCCTTGCTCTTCCTTGCTCTTGCGTCCTTGGGGTTTTCGTCGTCCGCCGCCCCAGAAACCCCAGCTTCGGCTTCCAAGGATCTTGCGTCCTTACCGCGCGTCCTTATTAGGGTTTTTGACTGTACGCGCCGCCAGGTGACCTGCCAACACCCCCCGGAAGAGTGCTGCAGGTTTTTGTTCCAGCTCCTCGGGCCGCCGCCCGCCGGGCCCCCGATCTCCACGTCGAGTCGGCCGCGGCCGGCGGCGGGGAGAGGCCGCGCACCGCGCGGCGCTCCGCGCGAGCACCGAAGCCGAGGGGCGCGGGGAGACGCACCGCGCTCGAGCGCTGCACCACTCTGGGCCTCCCAGATGGGGTCCGAGTCGATGGGGTCGGAGGATCGCACCGGATCGCCGATGCTCGATGCGGAACCCCGCTTTCTCCACGCGGACGGCGCCGATGCACCGCCGACGTCGCCGATGCATCGCCGACGCATCGGCGATGCAGCTCGCCGATGCATCGGCGATGCGGCGCGATCCTCCGACCCCATCGACTCGGACCCCAGCTGGGAGCTAGGAGGCCTCTGACCACGACTCCAGGAGCGAGCGCGCTGGCCCGGACCTCGGCGCCGACCTCCTGGCCTCTTGGGGATGCCGGGGTCGGCGCGCCGGGTGGAACTATGGTGGTCCGCAGGCCCTCGCGCCCCCCCCCCGCTCTCCTCGCCTCCGCGAGAGCGCCGCCGACGTCGAGCGCTGGCGGCTCGCAGCGGGGAGGCGGCGCGGCGGGGGGGGGGGCGTGGGCGATCTTCCAGGAGTCGAGGTAGGGGATTGACTACAGAGTCGGTTCCCCACCCAGACTGGATATTTCGGTCGACTCTTGTATATGAGGACATGCGATCATTCCCTGTTCCGTGGACCTGCCAGCACTCTCCGCATCTCTTCGCAGCTCCGACGAGAAACTCAAGCCTGGGGTGAACCAATTCTGTGGTCTTGGCACCGCTCGGACGTGTGCACTCTTCCTTCGGCGCGAGGGCCATCGAGGAACACCCTTGATCCTTTGGCCCAAAAGCCACGCACGACACCGACAAAATCACGGGGAAGGGACGTCCGAGCGATGGCGAGTGGTCGATCCCCGGCTCGAAGAGGAAGGCCGGGCGGCCACCCGGTGGGCGCGCCGCCCCCTCGGGGGTGCGAGGCCCTCCCGGGCGGCGCCCGGCCTGCTCGACGCCCGCCGGCCTCGCGCGCACTTGGGGTGGCGGGAGGCGGGGGCGCGTGCCGCTCCCCTGCGCTTGGCATCGCTCGGACGTGTGCGTTTTTCCTTCGGCGAGGACCATCGAGGAGCATCCTGGACCATTTGGCGAAAAAGCCACGCACGAGGCCGAAAGAGGCACAGGGAGTGGACGTCCGAGCGACGGCCAGCTGCGGGGTGTGTGCCAGGCCGAGGCCGAGGAGGGGAGTTTCGTCGAGAG